AATTTAACTTGCCATTAAATCTTGACGAATACTCCTCAGCTGATCGTTTGCGTAGGTATAATCGCGATTATTTGTATAATTTTGTTGCACAAGCTTCAGCGCTTTTTCCAGTATTTCAAGCGGCCGAATTGCACTCGGGTCTGGTGCCTTAAAGAAATTACAAAAGTTCAAATACGCACCTACGTTTCATCCATTTTGAACTATATAAAGACAAAAATACTAAAAAAAAGTACTGTTATGCCAAAAATTTGGACTTCATGAAATTTTATCCTCGTTACACCAGTAAATATGGCTACGTCTCATGGTCAGCACTTCCAAAGTGATGAAAGTTCGAAAAAAAAGGAAATGAAGACAATAAATAAGCACGAATATAAACATATATATGCTAAAAGATATAAAAACATTTGTTTCAAAGCATAAAAATATATTCTATAAATATATTCAAAGGCAATGAACAAAAGTAACGAATCAAAACTCCCTCCGTTTCCACTTTTTGAAAGAAGTTGAAGCGCTCGGAAGTAACTCAAGTAGTAATAATTGGCCAACGCACAGACTGCAAGTGCGAAGATGCGTTTTTTGCACAGTTCCCCGCAGTTTTTGTCGCTATCGGCACCAGTTTTTCCGACAAATGCTTCCAGCAAAACAAATTAAAACTGGCCGCCAGGACCGCCAGAAAACATTACCTTAAAATTTCAGCTTTCTAGCTTTCCTGGCTCCCGAGTTAGCAATTTACCCGAAAAAAAAAACTTTCACAAGCCCTTACCACGCATAGCCGGCGTCTGGGTTTGAGCTCATTAACATCTACTTGGATGGGGAACATCCTCTTAAAATTTGAATCCTCTAACTTCTCTGGTTCCCGAGTTAGCAACCTACCCAGAAAAAAAATTTTACGGGCCTGCACGTGTGTAACACGCACACCCGGGGAATGGTTTGAAGCTGATTAAGACTTACATGGACAGGGAACATTCTCTTAAAATTACAGCCTTACAACTTTTCAGTTTCCCGATTTAGCAACTTATTCGAAAGGAACTTTCACGGGCCCTTACGTGGGTACCGTACATACTCGGTGCCTGGGTTTGAGCTTTTAATACCTGCGCGGATGGGGAACGTTTCCTTAAAATTTCAGCTTTTCAGCTTCTCTGATTTCCGAGTTAGCAGCTTGCTCGTAAAAAGCTTTGGCGAGCCAGCACATGGGTACGTACCAAGCGGGTAAGAGCGCTCATTTTGGGGATGGAGGCCCACACATGCACATAGATTAAGTTCCTAAAATTTCAGCCCCGTAGCTTTTGTAGGTTTCGAGATGAAAATCGTACAAACGAACACTCAGACAACTCCTCGTCAATATGCGTTTTCTGCATTGCATAGCTGCTAGTACCAATTTACCACCGAAACGAATAAGGGGTCGCAGAAGGATTGGTTGTTCTACAACATGTGGGAGGGAGAGGGGCGGAGGAAAGTATGTCGTTGAAAAAGATGGAAAAAAGTTACCAAAGAGAAAAATTAACCGATGTTAAGCGGAAATAGGACTTCTCGATATCAGTGCATGTTCCAACAATGTTATCACTGGTCCCTTCATCACCTCCCCGATCAATACTCCAATCGACGCGTTGCCGCATATCGGAGAATTTTGTTCGTCGGACGTCATCATCACGCGCAAAGCGTCGAGCACGTTCCTCACGCTGTGCGTTGCTTCGCTCGTCGGCCAACCATTGCTCTGCCAATTTTGCGCTATTCTTCTTTTGTTTTTTCTTCCTTTTGTGCGCAGCAGCTTGCTTGTGCTAAAAGTTTCTTTAAAACAAAAGATCATGCATAGACGACGAACGAGAAATAAATTAGAAGCATTTTATTTTTTTTTTTTAATTTTTCAGAATCAAATTATGAAGTATGAAATTTTTTAATAAAAAATTCTCTTCCGCTTTTTTGAGTTCTAGGATATGTATTACCTAATAAAATTGCTCACTTTTTTAATTTTATTTTACACAGCAATTTTAAAAAATCTGGCGGATTTAGATTAGAAATTCGCTTTATAGCGCGATTTTTTTTTTTTTTTTTGCATACAACAAAGCGGGAGGGCTGAAAGCTGGATTATATTATATTCTAAGAATACTAAGATATACTATATACTAAGAAGGGTATTATATGCTAAGATTTCTCTATAAATTGGTATTGAGACCTCACGTTATTGATGTTATTAGGATGACCCCACATGTTGGGCGCAGCTGTGCCATGTTCTTCGATCCTAATCTATCCATATTCAGTTGGTGTGCACCACTTTTTCAGAGAGCGCCTAAGCCGTTTATTTTCTTGCAAGTACCACTCACTAATGTGCAACGTCCCTCGACTGTCAGCAAAATCACATATTGTGTATTTCATACCTTGCTAAAAGTTATGAAAACTGAAGGCTTCCTCTTGCACGTTAGTTTACTTTCTATTCCTACAGAATCAAACAATTTGTCTATACTACATTATTCTCTTCTACTCCTCTAAATTACCTAACATGTCCCCAACTGTAGAGCGAAATGGAGCACTGTGCTGATGATTCCCATTCCATTTCGCACCGTTTTAGTCGTCTGTGTTTACAGTTCAGGAATGAAACACAGACGTCACCTAATGCAAATACCGGCTAGCTTAAATGAGATTCTAAAATTTGGCTTCTTCGCAGAATATCCAATAAACATAGTCGATTATTCCTTTCCTCTTTTCTCATGTCGCTGCATCTTGCCAGCAGCAATGCTACACTTTTCGATACTTATGAAAAGTTTACATCACTCCAAAATTTTTTTCCCAGCA